CTTCCATTTTAAAATCTAAAGAGTTTTTTGAAGTGGAGAACAACAATCATTCAGTTTGGTTTATAGATTATTTCCTGATTCCCATATTTTCTCAAACACCTGAACTGATCGTTTGTTATTTTCTTTCTTTTTTCTGTCTTAATGTTGGCAGTGGGCTTTAGGCTGCCCTGCAAGGCTTTAAACCTGGGTTTAAATGGAGACTAAGCCATTCTCAAGACATTCCAGGCTCATTTGTGAGCTTAAATATTCCCAAAAAGACCATTTAATCAAATGATGCAAACTAACAGACCAGGAAGCAGATTTCTCATCTTGGTCAAAATATTTTTTTTTATACTGAGAGGAGTAACCATTTTATTCAATCCAATCAAAACGCCCAAGAGCGCTTCTCACAACTTCAAAAGAAACGTCTCATGTCAGGCCTGGATGTAGAGATGCTGAGTTTGGAAGCAGAGAACAGAGTTCATCCAAACCACGGATGACCCTAATGATCCCTGTTACTTTAAATCTGCTAGAAAGACTGAGGATGAGAGGTTTGGAACTTTAGAGTCTGGGATGCAGGAAGGCAGCCAGAGGTCAACTACTGTTCCTAAATATAAACCTGCTAAAGTTAAAGGCTTTTATCCATTAACGTCTCATGTTGGCATAAAGTAATGCTGAAGATGATAAATGAGCCATTAAAGTACTTTTTCCAGCAGTGCTCTGGTTAGAATTAAGGAAATTCATTCAGAATCTAATCTAGATATTATTTTTTTTCACAGTGTAACAGAATAAACAGACATCTGCTGCAGGTTTTAGGAAAACAGGTTTAAATCACAGAATGTAAGTTTTAAATCCAGCCTCCTGCCAGAAGGTGGCGGTAAAGCGCAGCTAAACAGTGCCTGCCCACCGCCATTAAACAGAAGAAGAAGAGATACTGAGGAAGAAGAAGAAGAACCTCAGACCGGCGGCACCAAGATGGCGGAACCGATCTCCGTCGGGGTGAATCTGGACGCCTTCTCTCACGCCATCAGCGGCATCCAGGCGCTGCGCTCCAGCGTCAGCCGCGTGTTCGAGTCCCTGAAGGACGGAATGAAAAACCGCGAGACTTTGGAAGGCCGCGAGAAGCAGTTCATCTCCGAGTTCCAGGACACCCTGCAGGCCGTCAACAGGGACCTCAAGTAAGACCCGATCCGCCCACAGACTGGTCCAGACCCGCTGACATAGACTGACCCCAGATCCCTCATCCTCCACCCCGCTGCAGACCGCCTGGTCCAGACCCGCTGACATAGACTGACCCCAGATCCCTCATCCTCCACCCCGCTGCAGACCACCTGGTCCAGACCCGCTGACATAGA